GGGATGTCATCTATAATACTCTGGTTTGAAAAAGAGGAACTGGAAGGTGGAAAGGACTCGCTAATCCAATTCTGTAAGTTTGTAAGGCCTGCAAATAAATCTCTGTGGCTCTCAGTCCCACCCTCAGGTCTCTTGGTTCTATCTTCTGAGTCATCCTTCCTTTTTATAGAAAGGCGTGCGCTTGTGTATCTGAGTGGTAGTTCATCAGCCTATTTCTGCCAGGCTAAGTTTGTGCGTCTTACAACCTTTTTGTAACTTGCACTTTCCCTGTGCCTTTCCAGTTGAGTTTGCTGGGCCTGTGCCCAGGGAATTTTCTCAAGGACTTTGGAGGCCTTCTATAAATTTCCATGGCATTCACTCCTTAGACGAAAGTCACATCCAGAAATCTTTTTGGATAACCCCTTTTTTATGTTTGGTTCCTCTTGCTGTTGGCCTTCTGGTTCGATAGAGAAGATCTGTGAGGAAACTCTTAATCTCTCGGCATAGCTTAAATTCTCTGCAAGAATGGTCAGTGGCAAGAACCCAGATGGCTCCTTCAGCACTTTGCTTGAAAATCCCCTCGACTGTGTTTCCAGCTTTGTCAAAGGGAAGCTCTGACAATTTTGCTAAGTATTCTACCATGATATAATAAAGGTGCATTTTCCTATTTTTAAGAGCAAACGAGGTACATGTAAAAATTAATTAATACTTCTATGCTTCCCGACATCCTTTCCAGCAGTATGCATCCTCTCACAGCTTTTAAAAATCTGCTAATGTAAATACATACAAATATGCATGCCCTTATTTAAAGTTTACTTTCTCTTTCCTTTCAAAAACACATTCTTTTGAAATGGAGTTGTCAGCCAGCAGCCTCCTCATTTGGAATCATTTCTAAGGAAACATTTGCTTTCAACCTCCCTCAGGTTATTTGCCACATTCAGTCCTTCTGGTTGTAGGAGTAGGTCCCTACAGTCTTGCTGTTTGTAAGTTGGGATCCACTCTCAGCTCACAAAGGCTGCTTGCAGGTCCTTGCCACGTGGCCGCCTCCTCCCGCCCTCGCCCACTTCCAGTCCCTCTGACTTCAGGCATTCCTCTCATTTTTTAAGGGCTCAACTAATTAGGGTGGGCCCACTTGGATGGGTTATTAATTAAAAATTAACCACAAGTCAACTGATTAATAACCAATTATAAGGAGTGTATCCCATGGTATTCTCAGGTTCTGTCCTCAGTAAAGGGACAATTTGCCAAGCCATGAACTCATCTTGGAAAAGAACTACCTCATTGCTGAGTATCACTTAGTAACCCTTGAAGTGCTCACTCTGGGAATCTATGAACAGACACCAGCATCTAGTCTGCCCTTCAAAGTAATTTTAGAACTCCTTTCTGGAATGGCAGTCAGAGCTGTCATTGTATTACCTGTAGTGTCCTGAATGTCATCTAAATGTCTTCCTTTCAATATTTCCTTTATCTTCAGATAAAAACAAAAGTCACTGGGGGCCAGATCAGGTGAGTGGGAAGAGTGTTCTAACACCGTTGTTTGTTTACTGGCTAAAGACTCCCTTACAGACAGTGCTGTGTGAGCTGGTACATTGTCGTGATGCGACAGCCGTGAGTTGTTGGCAAAAAGTTGAGGTTGTTTTCTTCTAACTTTTTCTTGCAGCCTTTTCAGCACTCCACATAGTAAATTTGGTTAATTGCTTGTCTAGTTAGAACAATTCGTAATGAACAATCCCTCTGATATTATAAAAGGTTAGCAACATTATTTTGACTCCTCATTTGGAACATTTTTTGTCATGAGAATTGGCTGAGTTCCATTGTGCACTGTGACAGTTTGTTTCAGGGTCTGATTGGTACACCTCTCTTTCATGGCCAATAATAACATGGTCCAAAATATCCTCTGGCCTCTCCAAAAGACGTTGGCAAAGTTCAACTCTCTTTTGCTTTGGTTCATCAGTGAGCTCCTTTAGGACCATTTTTGCACTCACCTTTCTCATGCTAAGGTTTTCAGTTAAAATTTTCCTGTTGATCCATGGATGTTTACTTGGTCCGTTTTGCTTCTCACAGTCAGCTGACAGTTTGGATGCATGAACTGAAGAATCTTTGCAATGTTTTTGTGAGTCTGCTCGTTCCTGGCCCCCTGACCTCTTACCATCAGTGATGCTTTCTCCTCTGTCAGAAAATCATTTATTACATTTGTACCCTACCATTTTCTTTGTATCATTGTCCCCATGAACTTTGACGGACATGTCCTTGATTTCACTTCTACTCTTTCCAAGTTTAACTAGAAATTTAATCTTTGTAATTCAAGGTCCGACATTTTCATAACAGCACACAACTCTAAGCAACAATAATGAACACCACTCAGCAGGACTCTGCCACCTATCAACAGGAGCGCAGCCGGGAGATACTGATATGTGGAGGTTATGTTCCCTTACTGGGCTGTTCATACAGTGCTGGGGGTATAAGTGCACAATAGCAAGTTTGCAAACTTAATTGTCAGGCCTTATGTGTTACAACTGATATCTCATAACGAGGACTATGAACAGCTTTGACCTGTGATTTCCAATTAGAGGCAAACAAATAGTAGTGAAGAAGGATCACATTGGATTTGAAAATGCCAAGTTGTATTGGTTTGTGCCGTGGCAACACCTCTGAGGTACCAGCAGAGTAAAGAGATGAGCTTAGTGGATAGCTGTTGCTTGACAAAAGACATGAATGGCACCTGAAGAAAAGTAACAAAAATATGTCAAGAGTCGTAAGTCAAAAGTGTAGTGCAGACAGACATCTTATCACTTTATGAGATATGAAGAAAAGGAGATATGACTGAGAATAGAGGCCGTAAGAACATAATAGAGTGGGGAACTGGATAGTATTAATTTCATTTAGCTCTGATTCAGGTGGTTGTCCATTTCAAGAAACTCACGCCTATGATAAATGAAAGAGTGAAGTCATTTAAGTCATTTAACTAAAATATCATGTATAAATTATGATTAATGTTTATACTGAAGAAAGCAGATTTTTATTACTTATGTGTTTGTTTATTTTTTCATTTGTTAGTTATGTACTTATTCTAGGGTTCAGTTCAATAGCCAGACACCTCGGCTCTGCACCTGTAGCTCAGTGAGTAGGTGCCATCACACACACCAGAGCTGGTGGGTGTGAGCCCAGCCTGGGCCTGCTAAATTTTTCAGATTACTTATGCTAGGCTGCTTAAGCATTAATCAAAACCTTCCTTGAAGGAGATAGTTAAAATGTACCTATTTTATGAAAAGAATAATGAAGAAATCCTAAGGTAACTTAAAATTTGAACTTAAAATCTTAAGTAAAATAAGTGTGAATTTGTGACTTTATTAAGTTAATATTAATTTGAAGTCTCCAAGTAGCTATAAATAATTTTTCTAGGTAAAAAGTTCCCACTAGGGTAGCCAAAATTTTACATAGAAAAATATTTTTTAGGGGAACTATAACAATATATTTAAAAAAACACAAGTAATATCAACTTAAAACAAGGTCACTTTTATAAAGCTAAATAATATTTCTGCATTTCCAAACACTCCCCTCCTTTCTGCTCATATAATATACATATATATGTATATATAGGTTAAGTTTATTTTCTCTTTTCTTTGAAAAACACATGTCTTTGAACAAAAATCTTAACATATTTACAAGATAATTAAAAATAGTCAACAAATATGTGACAATGTTTAAACTCACATTCAATTAAATAAATATATATTAAGGTAACTACACAATTTTTACATGTCACTTTGACAATTATTTAATGAACACCATTGGCAAAAATTAGGAGTGTGGTGTGAGCACTCCCTAAAGTAGATGATGCCGCTGAAAACTGGCAGAACCTCAGGCAAGACTTTGGCGACATGCATTTGATAGCTCGCAATATTCCCAATCTTTGATCTAGTTATTTTGTTTCTAAATCTTTATGGACAAAGATATTCATCACAGTCACCATTGTTAAATAAAAAGTTGGAATAAATGAAATATCCAAAGAAAGGACTCACTAAAAAATAGTGTTTTTGGTATCCTTATCCCAATATCCTTTGGTATCCTTATCCATTCAAAAGTATTTTGAAAGAATAGCATAAGGATAAACATAAGAAAAACTAAGACATAAACCTATATAAATCCAGCTCACTCTCTCTATATATAAAACCTATGTAAATATGTTTCTATTTAAGTGTTTATCTCACATAGAGATGTATTTATAGAATATGAAAGGAAATAAGAAAGCATTACAATAATTGCAATACTTAGCATGGAAGAATTACCACCCTAACATTTTTTCCTTATGCTTCTCTTGTAGCCATTTGTTCTCCAATGAGCCTGCATTACCTTAACAATCATACATACGTGATTTTAAATTTAATAGTAAAAATAATGAAGATTTAAACTCATGTATCCATTCATTATACTTAGTAATTCATGACCAAGACGCTTCCATCTATCCATCTATAACACCTATTTGATTTTCTTTTTTTATTAGATCATACCTGTGTACATTACTGCATTTATGGGATACAGTGTGCTGGTTTTATATACCACTTGGAATGTTTACGTCAAACTGGTTAACATAGCGTTCACCTCCCTTATTTCATTTTGTGTTTAGACATTTATACTCTTAATAGATTTGACATGTACCCTTGCACTATGCACAGTAGATGAGGTCCCATCCATTACTCTCCTTCCACCCTTCCCCTTCTCTCGCCCTCCTCTTCTCTCCTTCTTTCTGGACTATAATTGTGTTTTATCTTTCATATGAAAGTGTGGGTGATTATATATTGGTTTCATAATAGTATTGAGTACATTCGGTATTTTTTTCCATTCTTGAGATACTTTACTAAGAAGAATATAATCTTTTACAGCCATGTAAACATTGACATATTTATAGGTCATATAGTTAATCAGTTTGGGGAGTGACATGAGAACTTGTAATTCTAGCCAAGAACTCTTTGCCCTAAACTACACTGCAAAATAAGAAATAATTTAAAATCAACCAAAAGAGGCACCAACACACTAAAAGTGGGAAAAAATCAGTGCAAATATGTTCATACGAAACCTTAAAATCTTGGGCTTGTGAGGATTTTGGAAAACATTTTTTAAAAACCTGTCATCCAAATAAAGCATGTTTGTCTTGGATGCAACTTTATAAACAAAATGGTTGTATAAAGTGAGAAAAGGATGAGTCTTTGTTTGCTTCTATATTATTTTTAACACTTTGAAATGTTCCAGTAAGTGATTTGAATTGCAATTTAGGAATGAACTGAGTCAACAAAATAAACATGACAATTTGAGGATATTGTAATTTTGTAGAAGAAATTGTCTTATAGACCAGCTGGTTCTGGCTCAGGCTGCATCTCTTTTCCTTTTTCCTTCTCCGCGGATTGTAGCTTGCTGCCATCAGGTTCAAAGCACTGTTGCCAACTGTAATACCATGGCAATAATTCAAGGCAGGATGGATGACATCCTTCAAGGTGACAGAGCTCTTAAAACTATGTAGGACACAAGGAAACACTTGTACAGGTGATCAAGGGAAGACATGCAAACATAGCATGTTAACTGAGACGTTCCACAATTATTTTCAAACCATCACTGAAGTTGCTCAGCCTGTGGTCCCATTTCCTCTATACAGTCATGGCACAGGAGCTGCCCCGCATCTACTTGAATGTTTTTTAACACCAGGGAACTCTTTGTCTCTTGTGGGTTCTCAACTTAGGGTCAGAATTCCATAGGAGTACCTACATGAGTTTTGGGAATTAGATTACACCCTGAAATTGTGTGCAGATTTTTGGATATTTAGGGTAAAGTCCATTTCTTAATCAGATCCTCAGAAGTGTCTGTGACTTCAAAAGAATTAAGAATCTCTGCAGAGATGGCCAATTCCATTTTGAACAGCTCACATAATTGAAAAATCAAATAAACAAGTGGTATTACAATAATTATTACTACCTCTCCATATCAAAAACCCTCTGGGACAGCACAGACTACGTCAACAGAACAGATTTTACCCTCCTTTTTAAAGCATTTCCTTGCTGATGTTGGGTTGCCCCACCTTCGTGTCAGTTCTCTTTTATCCATAATTCCAATTTGGTCACATATTGCTTCTTGAAGGGTGGCTCAACAGGTGGCAATTTTCAGGTATGATCTAAACCACACCCACCAAAGAATTCTGACCCTTCCTCTATTCTATACACTAATCTTACAGTAATAAAGAAACAGCCACTTTTTGGAGAGAGCCATAATAAATGTTTGTCCTCTCTGAAAATCGAATAATATTTTATTTGCTACAACTTAATAAAGTATACGGGGATTTTATATTCTTCATTCCTACCTGCCCCACCCACTACCACCCTCTGACTCTACCCTTTCCTCTTGGTAGAACACTTGATTATATCACGTCACCTCACCTTCTGCTGAGCCCACTCGTGTTTGTTTTTAACTTTTCATTCAGGTGAGGTGAAGTCCCTTGTTAATTACTTCAGCTGATAATACTGTTCATATTTATGATACTCCCAAATCTCTCAACACTCCCAAATTTCTCAACCTGGCGTATAATAGCGAAATAGAAGTCATATAGATGCAAACAACTCATTGAAGTTCAAATCTTAGTTTATCATGTACTACTTGCATGATCTTTTTTTAAAATTAAATGATAGCTGTATACATTAATGCAAACATGGGGTACAGTGTAGTATTTTTATATACAATTTGAAATATTTTCATCAAACTGGTTAACATAAACTTTGTGTCATTTACTTAGTTATTGTGTTAAAACATTTATACTCCAGTTCTAGAAAAGTTCACTTGTACCCTTGTTAGACAGACCATATAGGTGATCTTTTCAGTCACCCTCCCACTACCCATTCGCCCTTCTACCCTCCCCATGATCTTAGACAGTTTTGTCAAGATTAACCAGAAAACCAACACTCATGTCTTGCTTATGTCTTGATTTCAGTAAACGAACTCAAAAAAGACATTTCTGAAGCAATCGGAAAAACTTAGATGTGATAGCCAATCAGATTTTGGATATTTTTAAAGGCCCTTCACTTTGAGAGACATACTAAACAATGCACAGATAGTAATGTAATATTTACGATTTCCTTCAATACAATTTAGTGGAAGTCTGACTATATGGACAGATGAGACAAGATTGGCCATGTTGATTTTTGAAGCTAGTTGGTAGGTACAGGGAATTTATTATACTGTTATGTCAATATTTGCATTTTGGGACATTTCTGTGATAAAAGTCAAAATTTTAAAAGGAGAAAAAAACTTACTTGTGGCTATTTGAGTTGAACCAAATTAGCTTACACTACTTTTTTTTAAAAAAGCATATCTGTGGAATTATTTTATTATCCCTAAGTCCCTGGTATTTCCTCAGAGACAAGAAGAGTTCAAACAACAACCCTAGCTTCCAAAGTTTCAATCTCCTTAAAGGGATTCAGAATCTTCTAAAAAATGTCCTCTTTCCTTCAACTTGTGCTTTAGAAACCGATTCACAACTTTCAAGATGAAGTGCAAGAGAATGTTTTGTTCTATACCTGCATTAGCACTAAATAAGTATTATCTATTATTAGAGCCCCTTTGAGTAAATTAGATAAAAGTTTTCCTATTTTAGCTTGTGATTATAGAATTTTTTTTCTATTTTCTGGGATCCACTACCAGATGAACTGATTTTTTTTTTTTT